GAGTGCAGGGAGAGAGGGATCAGGGTCACTTCCTGCAGGCGAGGGTGCGGGAGAGCACCCTTGACCCCTGCCCACCACCCAGTTCTCAGCTCTGTGGGGTCCCCCTGACACCCTGTAATCCCCTTTACCCAAGAGCTTAGAGCACGTTATGACCCAGGTGTCAAGGGACCTGGCTGGGCATGGCCGCTTACTGCTCCACCACATCTCATGTCCCCAGGTAGTGAAGTGACATGTTTGCACAAGGGCCAAAGGGGACCAAAACACCCCCTGAGCCTGGGGAGAGAAGGTGCAAGAGCCAGCAGATGCCCTGGCATGGTCCTTGCCCCATTCCTCCTTCCAGGTTGTGAACGAAAGCAACCAGAGATGCCACAAGGGTTAGCAGAGAGGAGGAGCAAGAATCCTTAGGGATCCTTCCCAGGGTCACCATTGTTTTACAGAGCGCTTGCTCCCCTGTGAGCACCACCTCTACACCCCATGCACCCCAAAAGCTCACGACCTCTTCGCCTCCGCTCCCCGGCACAGCAGAGCTGAGCTAATGGAGTGAAACCATCGCAGAGTCACCTTAATGAGCTCCACCATCTTCTTGGCCTGCGCGATGGTGACTGCCAGCTCCTCCAGCTCATTCTCTGCATCGCTGAGGAATTTGGCTTGTTGGGCCTGCGGACACGAAGGACAAATGCTGAGCTCTGCCCCCTGAACCCGGCAACGGGGAGATGCAGGGGACCCAGCCTCTCCCTAAGTTCAGCCCACAGCCACCTCTCTGACCGTAACCTTGCTATTAGGCTTTGGGTGAAGAGTGCAAAGGAAATTGCGAGTCGTTCCCCCCACCCTGCAACATCCAACCTGCAAACATCAAACATCCCTTCTCACTTGGTTGGAAAACTAAAGGAGCAGCTGGGCTGCAAAGGGTCATGCCCAGCTCCACGCTCCCCACCCCAGTCCCAGCAGAAACAAAAAAAAGGAATTTGAAAGCAAAACCATCAGGCAGTCACTGCAGCAAGCACAGCTAAGCCGTGTGCTCTTAGTATGCACCCCAAGGCTAGGAAAAATCTGCCTGGGATGGGTGCAGAAACCGAAAGGCAGACCCAGAGCACTCAGAAACGCAGCGCTGAGTCTCCTGAACATTTCTTGTTAGGAGCAAAGCAAACCAGCTCAGGAGCACGAGGCACTGCATGGCTGCAAAGGAAGCACCGTCCGAATGCAGCGTTTCCTGACAAGCTATTGTTAGCGCCAGCCATTGCCCATCATGAGGATGTGTCCCTCGGGAGCCAGGAGAGCATCGCATTCCCCAACCAGGGCAGCTCCCATCCCGATGCTCAGCCCCCAGCGCCCTGCGGTGCTCCTGCCTGGCGAGGCGGGACAGGCGCTTCCCCATCCATCCTTCCCACCTCGCAGTGCGAGGGCGGTGGCAGAAAGCAGCCGCAGGGGCCATGCAGGCAACATTAAGCAGTGCCTGCTGAGGCTCGACAGCTCCTCAGGGTTGGGATCACACGTGCTTTCTATTTTAAGGCACCTGATGACTAATAATGCCGGCAAAAGGGTTTTCCTGCAGTCCCAAGAGCCTGTGAGGGAGCGGGAACTGGCTCAGGGCTGCCGTTGTGCTCGCCGCCAGCATGTCCACAGCCCCCAGGCTCTCCCCCAGAAAAAGCAAACTGAGGTCTCCAAGCGCCCCATGCTGACGGGGGGATGCCACCGTGCCGCGAGCCTCGCAGGCTCCCATCTGCCGGCAGCCCTGCAGAGGCCCCAACACTCGAGGCAGCAGTGGCCAGGAAGGCAGCACCACGTTGGGCTTGGAGCCCCAGCTCCCGGGGAGGCTCATGGGTGCGAATCTGGGAGGTGACTCAGCCACATCTGGGAATGGGAGTGATGGAAAAAACCCCGCTGCCAAAGCGCCAGGACACAAAGGGCTGGTGGAGCGGGAGCAGCAGCTGGGCAGGCTGCCAGCGCACCGAGAAAAACTGCCTTCACGAAGCTGTGGGAATGAGACGGAGAAGACGGGTGCCCCATGACCGCGGGGGCGGCCACTGCAGGGTGTCCTGGGTGCCCTCACCCCCAGCCCTACACCCACAGGGATAGCGAGTTTGGCCC